TAATTGTAGTAGAGCTGATTTATTGTTTATTTTTAAAATATTTTAGATGTAGAGGGATTTGATATAAATGTAACGATTGTAAATTGATATTTGCATATTTAGAGAAAGTGAAGAGTTTTCTCAATAAACAGTATATGAAATTCATGTTATATGACATGGAAATATACTGATAACCTCACCACAGATCAGTTTTATTATATACCTGTAGTATCATGGATCCATTTGATGTATGCACAGACATCCATGAACCCAACTGGTGCTGAACTAACTGCAAAGTTAGGCTCTCCAGTGAAAGAATGAACACCATAAATCATGTTGTTAAACACCACTCCTCCACCAGAGTCACCCTGTAACAAAGACATTCATATTATTTGTTATACTGTAGATTTTTGCTGCATTGAAATACTGTATATTTAACTGTTAAAACTAATGGCTGAAGAAAAAGGTAGAAACTATGCCAACTCACTGGACACGTAACCACAGTTTTATTTTGACCACAAAACCAGTGTTGATAGCGCTTTTCCTCGTAATAGTGTGAATAGCCTTTCGCCAAAATCTTTTCGAGCCTGTCACATTCGACAACTTTCAGGTCCGCACATTGGAGAGTGTCTGATTTGTCCTTTGCTGCTTAGAACAGAGAAAAGATGTGTATTATACCAACATGTATAGAGGAACTTAATGCACAAAACCTGTCTGTACTTTACCAGTGGAACAGAATTTCCCATTCTTATTTATACTTAAATAAAATACATGCAAATCTGGAAAATATTTATGAATGAAACAACGTCCCTGAATTCAATTTTCAGTTGTTTCTATGAATCTTGAAATGTGTTAGGTTTGGGGGGCAGTGCTAACCACTGCACCACCATGCACCCAGAAGACAAACTGTGATAAAAATAAATAACTGTAATCATGAAATAAAGAATATTTATCTTACGATATTCATATAAAGGGCCTCGTGTTTTGCCCCCATGTCCTGCAATCTGAACTGTATCATCTCTGAAAGACAATAAAAAGAATAAATATAAACAGGTTTTATTAAAGTTTTTTTTAAAGAAAAAGGTCATTAAAATTATTTTTAAAAGCATTTTCATCACTAATGACATTACATTTGTAAAAGAGTTTAGTGTAAATTTCTCACTTCATGAGTGAAAGTTCAAGAGTTGATAAGTGCAGATTAAAGGAGAACAAACAACTCACATTTTGGGACGTTTCTGACAGTCAGGAAGCCTTACAGGTTGGATGTTAATGGGTGTAGGAAGCTTCAGCAGCATGATGTCATGCTCCTTATTGCCTTGGTCCTTAAAGATCTCAGTTTGTGTCGTTTTTTGAACCTGTTGTGTTGGACCTGGATGTACACCTATATCTGCATACATAGTCCTAGAGGTAGAAAGTCAATAAGAAACATCACTGAACTTAATAAATATAAGCAAAACCTGTTTGAACATATTCAACTAATGATCTGTGCCACTTAAGGGCACCAAAGGGTTTGTAGATTATAACTAATGGTTTTATTAATTAATAAATAATTTACTAACAGCTCCTTGCAGTGAGCTGCAGTCAGAATCCACTGGTCACTGATCAGAGAGCCACCACACATATCTGAATTTCCTTTAGCATCAACTAGCCTCAGTCTGACATGGTAGTGACGCTCATGTGGTCCACATGTTTGACCTCCAATGATTCTCTTCTGCAGATCCACCACTGTGCCCACTGTGACACCTGAAAGACAAGGTCCACCACCAGTGTGAGTTAGATAGTGGTTGTCTGTCTGCAGCACAGGACAACAACTTACTACAGCAGATATGGTCGGCCCATTTATTACTCACCATATCTGTCAAATGCTAAATGTAAACTAAGCTGAAGAGACAGTTGTTGGCTACTCACCGATCCACAGCACAAAGAGACAAAGTGTAAGACGCATCATCGAGTTGTTCAGTCTCCACTGATTGTCGTCCTGGTGTGACAGTGGAGGTTTTTTAAGTCTGTTCACACTGTCCTGTTGACTTTCAACACACCAATCACCTTGTGTAGATCTACTGACACAACTCCATTGGCTAAAAGAGCTGCATGTTTATGCTAATTTGTGATCTTTATCAGTGAGTCTTGGTTTGTACCAATGAGAGTCAAACTGCAATGACAGCAGCAGTTCACAGCACTATGTTATATCCATTGTATTGGGTAAATATTGAGTTGAAACATTAAAACACTGTAGTTACATTGACATAGTTACAGTTACAGTACATCTAGTTTTTCCATTACATACATGACCTTTGTTGTGTTGTTTTAGGATGAAACATTCCTTTTCCTTTCATGAGAGGAGGACACCAGTATCTGCTACATTCCTACCCCTGACAGATTATTGTGATATTGTGTATATGTATGCCCCAGCTGAGAGTCTAGAATCTTGTTAGGTATTTTTGTGGAGGACCATTCTCAGATTCTTAAATTTAAGACCTACTTCTCTGCTGTGACAGTTTCATATACTTTTCCATCCCTGGCTGATACAAATGACCTTTTTTCACTTGTAAATGTGAGTGAGTCTATCTTGGATATGTGCTCTGTGGAAACACAGCAGTAACATATCCCAGTCAAATATCCTGTCTTCTCATTTTCCTTTCAACACCAGTGAGCTCAGGTATGACTGAACTGTAAGAGTAAAAGGTGGCTGTTATACACCACAAGTTCCCAGTTGCCTTTTTTGTATCTTTGCTCCACTGTCAGCTCATTCTAGCATGAAAATGTAAAATAGCTATGTTGGTTCACGGTGTAAAATGTAGTAATGTCACAATAACAGCATTGAAACTGTGACATGCCAATGTAATATAACACTGTATATCCCCATAACACTGTAGAGAATAAAGGTCCAGCTGGACTTTAGGATAAACAGACTAGATTTTGGTGGTCAAAGGTCAAAGATCAAGGTCACTGTGACCTCACGTCTACATGAGTCTGACTGGTTGTGGGAGGTGTACTACCACTGGGTGGTAATTCTAATTGTAACATAATTAATAATTTGTTAAGATGAATCGCTTTAAAGAACAAGTATGAAAGCTGTCACAGAAACTCATTTAAAATGTCTTTTAGGTCCAAACTTTATTCCTTCATAGTTGCTTTTGGTATTAACCCTAATGTAACCCATTTGGTGGCCATGTCCTTGAAAATGACTTAGTCACTAGAATATGACTAAAAGTCCTTCACACAGTATCTGTTACTGGAGGAACTGATACAATGTGCTTTCTGTAAATACATAATAAGAAAATAGTCAATTTAGTTTAATTGATTCCAAAGGTACAGATCCATTTCTATAGACTGGGTTTTACACCAAGGTTTGTGTCTTTGCTAACACGTTAAATAATCACAGAAAGAAACACACTGTATTATAGTTTACTTCAGGTTTAGGACATAAGGTCTTATTCATACATGTATTCACTAGTCTTTTGTCAGTTATAGACTTTAAGACCTTACATGGTTTAGGCTATTTTCTATGGGTGGAGGTTTCCAGTACACCTGCTGTAGTACACACGATGTGCTCTCTCATGTTGCTCTACACATTAAGCTACTGTGGGGACAGACCACCAGCTATAGGGCTGCCTTCATGGCCCAACGAACAAACAGATAACATCACTAACATCGTGCCCACCAATGTGTGTGCGTGTGTGTGTGGACTGGATTGGAGTGGAGGTTCACTGCTCAGGGCGCAGCTGGAGCTCAGCGACAGTTCACAGGCGATAATCAGCATCAGCGCAGACTAGGAGACAATGTCGGGCTTTGTAAGGACTGCGGACTGTGGTAAGTTCTTACCAAACTCATTTGTACAAATTCTGCTCGGGTTTCATTGTCCTTTGTGTGCGCAAAGTATTTTGAATCCTTATCCACTGATAAAACGTGTGGTGTGAGTCTTTCTACTGCGGAGAAATGAAGTGTGGACACGGAGCCTTATCATATGTTATCGTCTCATTTTCCTGCCAAGGCAGTTGAGCTCAGGTGTGACTGAATTGTAACAGTAAAAAGCAACCACGAACTCCTATTTGCCTTGATCATATCGTTTATATTGTCTGTCTCTCCTCGTGTTATGTCAGAGGATACAGGGCTCGTTATATATGAGTGGGATGATAAACTTTGCAATTCATACACTCACAGTGTAAGTCTGTTTCCACATCCCCATGTCTTTCTGATCACATTTACACATGCAGGCATACCCAGCGACACCAACAGCATCAGTTACCCTGCTGATCTGAGTACAGTCCTGTTGTTATCTGAGAAATGAACAAAGGAAACGAGGAGATGAACTAGAGTCAGAGGAAAGGAGATGGCATGAGGTTTAATGTGGGCAAAATAAAAGAAACAAGGCGAGATGAGACAAGGAAACATTAAATGACAGTAAAATGATGAAAAGAGCACTTGAACAGTGGCACAACTGAACCGTCTCCACTTCCACCTAATAAGAAACATACTGTAGCACAAACATGTCCAGCATCTTTGTTCCTTTTTCAGATTTTGATCAGTTTGGTTTGCGCCTGGTTTCTGGAGTCCTGCTGCTTGAACTAATGAGTGAGTCAAATAGAAAAAGCAGTTCCCCCTCTCTTTGCATCTGTCTGTCTATCTGGGGAAACAGGAGCTTTTTATTTTTGCTTAACATTTACTCTAATGTAGTTACTAAAGCTGTTCATCTGGCCAGTTGGGGCTGTAATTACATGTTTTTGACTGGACGACACATAAGCAGCACAGTGTGGGAACACTAAAGCTGTTCATCTGGCCAGTTGGGTCTGTAATTACATGTTTTTGACTGGACTACACATAAGCAGCACAGAAGAGTTAACTGTAAATAATACTGTGAAGGACTATGGCTGTCAAGACACCATAAATACACTCATATACAAGCACCTTTATATTCCTAAAGATCTTCCTTTTGTTCTTTGTGGATGCTGCAAAGTCTTTATCATCTTTTAATTTTACATATCTCAAATCCCTCACTCAGGGCAAAATGACTCTGTGTGTGTGAGCACACTTGAACACTAATCTTTGTGAGTATAAGAAAATCACATTCAAAAATGTTCTGCGATGTGCATGGCTACGTGTGCACGACAGGTTTATAGGATCTTACATTCAAAAATGTTCTGCGATGTGCATTGCTACATGTGCACGACAGGATCAGACTAAGGACAATCTGGGTGCTCTTCGCAGTCTTTGTAATGGAAGGTGTGGAGGCAGGGATGTGGCTGAGACGTACTGTAGACTGGGTCTAACCAGGAAGCAGATCGCCTTGGGGAATAAAGTCAATCAATTAGCTGGTGTGTGTAACTCTTCAGTTTATACTGTCATAGAGCATAAGAATGGTTTATACTGTAAGTTGTAAAGAAACAGTAAAGGATGTTCATATTAATACTAACTGATGTCTAAACCATTACATTAACAAACTCTTATAAACCTTCTATAGAAGGTGCCATGTTAGAAAGCAGCTGTATGAGTGAATGGAATTACTACTGTATAAAAGGTGAAGTAATGGTGGAGAGATCTCAGTAATATAAAGCCCTCCAGGCTCAGTGTTAATGGTACATCAGTAAAATGAGGAGTCAAGACACTTATCTGCTACATGATATTTGCGAAAATGCAGAGCAAATACATTAAACATTAGAAGGGTCTGTAAAAGGCCAGATAGGCTGTTAAAAAAATTATGCCAATGAGCTAAAATCCACTTACTGAAGGTAATAGTAATGACGGGCTATTTGAGCACTTAGCATGAATTAATACCACTGACAGGCGTGTTTTTAACAGTGACCTTGTGGCCTCTCGATCCCATTTGCAGGTTGTTTAAAAGCTGTGGCTTGAACAATTTATGAGTTAATTACACAGGAATCAGTATTCAGCCTCTTCACCCCCAGTACAAACCATACTGGCCTCTTATATGCACTAAGTCAGTATATGTCAGCATAACAATACTGAGTGCTGTCAAAAAATTCAGCTGCTAAAATGTGTCCAGACTCTGTGTGGTTGACTGTGCAATATATATTTGTATGTGTTTGCCAGTAGGTGCTCCTTTATCGGTGACCTGTTAAAGCTCAATGGATAAACTGCTGCTCAGCACAGACATGGTGAGTGCAAGTGTGTCATTTGAAAATTACAGCTGTTAGCTGTTGCTCCACTAAAAATCAAACCTTAAATAGTAAGTAATATAAATTAAAAGGCTGTAGCTTTCTAATTCAAAGGAACAGCAACTGAAGCCAGTGATAATTATGTTCAAACCTGTTGTCACTTGACCAATAAATCTCTCGTCCAGTGGAGAGTTGGACTTATGATAGCATGTCATGGAGGTAGTAGACAATGTGTGTTCAGCAGTGTTGATGATAATGAACCGATGTATTAGGGGTGTGACAAGATTTCCTGCCACAATATTAAAACGTGAGGATATTTCTTGTTGAGGCAACAGTTGTCTCATGATTATCAGTACATAACAGAACCAGAGCAGCAGCCAGTGTGACGGAGTGTGACCATACGTCCACATTAGTCCGGCAAAAATGCAATTCCCTGCATTGGGTAGGGGGTGAGGGGCTGCAGGGGCAGTGACAAGTTGACGTGAATGGCTAATCTACCTTAGCACCAATTCTACCACCATTGTGTCTGCACTGATAAAAAACACTGTTTAACATTCAGTACTAATGAAAATGCATGGTGTGTCATTATGGTGCATTAAGTGTGGCCCAAATTTGATAATGAGTAGCAGTGAATGCTTATGTGAACATTCAGTTAATCAAATTAAAATAATTTTTAATTAATTAATTCTGTTTACAAGCCGGGCCGCACGGTGGCACAGTGGTTAGCGCCGTTGCCTCACAGCGAGAAGGTTCCGGGTTCGGGCCCCACCTGGGACCTTTCTGTGTGGAGTTTGCATGTTCTCCCCGTGCTTGCGTGGGTTCTCTCCAGGTACTCTGGCTTCCTCCCACAGTCCAAAGACATGCAGCCTAGGTTGATTGGTGTCTCTAAATTGCCCATAGGAGTGCGTGCGTGCGTGTGTGTGGTTGTTTGTCTATGTGTTAGCCCTGCGATGGATTGGCGACCTGTCCAGGGTGTACCCCGCCATTGCCGGCCGGGATTGGCTCCATGACCCCGTTCAGGGACTAAGCGGTAGAAAATGAATGAATGAATGTTTACAAGGCTTCAAATATAGTGGAAGCCTCTTCCACTGTTTAAACATGAATAACTAAGTTTGGGGAAGTGCAGTAAAAGCTGAATCAGAGCTATGGTGCTGAAAAAGGACACCAGTGATTTGGAGTTTGTGACCAGCCAGACGTAAGTTGAATAATCACACTTCATTTAGCTCTTTGGTCTTTGTCAACTGCTGAGGGACATATTTAGCCCATTAGCTCCACTATATTGACCTGCTACTTGTTACCTTTGCTGTTGGTTTCTGAGCAGGTTATTGTACAGTTGATTTATCAATTCAATTCGGTTCAATTGTATAGCACCAAATCACAACAAAAATCATCTCAAGACACTTTACATAGTAAGGTTTAGCCCTTACAGTATTCTAGAGAAAAACCTAACAAATCCCCTTTGAGCAAGCACGTGGCAACGGTAGGGAGGAAAAACTCCCTTTAGCAGAAGAAACCTGTGACAGAGCCAGGCTCTTGGTGGACGGCCTTCTGCCTCGACTGTTTTTGGTTAGAAAAGGTTGATGTGATCAGTGACAGCTCATCAGAAACGTACAGCTCCAGAGCCAGGGATACCTGTAAAAAGGTAAAGGGAGAGAGAGGAGAGACCTGCAAAAAGGTAAAGGGAGAGAGAGGAGAAAACACACAGACTATGGGAGAGAGGAGACAGAATGACATCCAGTGGTGGCATATAAATGCAAATCAGAACATTTCCACTGAAAACATCTGCCTGCTGCAGCTGGAAATGAAATAAAGATAAATATTTAGTATTAGATCTGAAGATCATTGGGGAGAGTCATTAGATATCACGGTCTGCTTTGGAGTACTTTCCATGTCAGTTTCACTTTTTTGCAGCCTAGACTCTGGATCTTGGCACTGAAAATGAACAGCAACTGGGAAAACAGAACAAATTAACCAGCCCCAGCCCTTAAATAAAGTGAAACTGGTAAGTAATATCAGCATATTGCTGACATATTTAAACGTATGTGATCTGCACTCAGCAGATTCATAGAGGACATAGTTTGCATACATACAAGCACATCCACAATGTTCACACAGTAGCCATTGCCTTTGTATCTAAATGTAATTCAGACTCTTGTTTATCTCTCTCCTTTTGCTCTGTACAGGGCCTTGTTTTGACCTTCCGTTGCCATAGCAGCATCTCCCAGGAAGTTGTTCTTAGAGCTGGACATACAATGGTGGACAAATAAGGTGATGCCTTCTGAGAAGACAAATTGTCTATCTGCTCTTATTGTGTATATCAGAGATTAGAATGGGAGAGTGCTGCATAGAGGGAGGAGGTACGTAGGGAAATGTGTGTGTGATGTGTGCCCGTCAACGTGCATGGGAGTTCTTGTCCTCAGTAGGACATTTAATGTCTATATATGCATTTTTATACAAAAGACTTTTAGTGTGCCTGTAATTACATCCAGATTACACCAACTTGTCCAGAGGTTCAAGTCCTTTAATTAAAAAACTCCCATTTTTATTCTTCAGCATTGTTATGATTTATGAGCCACAAGTTTAATATTCCATACAACACTGTTTTAAGCCCAAGGCTGGAGTAGAACAAGCTTTGCCCTGTAGGTTGAAATGAAGTCAGCGTTATCAGGTACCCACTGTTTTCATTGTTGTTTGTTTGATTTATGTTTGTTGCAGTTTTACAAACCTATAAAGTTTAAAAGGAAAAATGAAAAATGCAAATGAAAGCTTTTCCAACAAATGAGCCATTTACGCGAGCACTGTAGAGTATTTCCCTTAGTTTGGTAACAATAGGAATATTTCTGACATTTTATCCCTCATGATTTCTGCCTGTACCCTGCACAACTCTCTTTTTTCCTCTTCTCTTTCCATCATCCCCTCTTCAACTTTAATGCAGTTAAGGCAAGGTTGAGGAGGGCATGTCTCTGTTATTTTTTCCGCAAGTCAGTGCATTTTGTTCCTAACGAAACATCAATTATAGCCCTTCACTGTGAGGGCCGTGAGGGTGTGCCTGTGTGCAGCATGGTGGTTATTAAGAAGCCAGGGCAGCTTCATAAACAAGCTGTTGTACTGAGAGAACTAAGTATGCGATGTTTTTATTCTAGAACAGGCTTGTTTTTGTTGTGACGGAAGGTGGGTTGTTAAGCTGATCATTAGTTTAACATTCTGTGAGCCATAGGCTGACCGAAGTTTTAAAGTTTGGACTGTTGCCCACATCAGCTGCTGCAAGAGCAGCCATTTTGACTGCATACACAGTACGCAGGCAATTTTCCAGGCAATTATCTGTTGTATATTTTCGAACTTTGGGCAGAGCACCTGTTTCCTATTGCTTTCAATCTTTGTGCTAAGCTAAGCTACATAGCTCCTGTCTCCAGCCCCCTACTTAAGGCACAGTTATAAAGTTGTGTAAATCATGTCGTCTAACACTGGGCGATAACACAAGTGTATGCCCCGACATTTCAAACTACACCTTTAATGTAACCTATTCTTTATGCTACCTTAACTAACTTTGCTTTGCCTTTTAGGCTGTTGAACTCTCACTGATGAGATCTTACTGACATCTGCTGCTTCATATTCCTTTGTGCTTCCATGGAGATCATCAAGGCCACCCAAGTTTCCTTGCTCCCTCAGGAAGCCCCTACAGCTACCTGGAGCAATGACACTGTCCCCTCTCACT